CCAGCACATCCTTCCTTTCCTTCTCCAGGATTTCCAATTTCCTCTTCAGAAATGCCACCTCCTGAAGAAGGGTCACAGCCTCTTCCTGCCTTTCCGTGGCCTCTTTCTGCAGGGCAGTTTCTCGAGAAATGTGCTTGACTTCTGCCTTCCAGAAATCTGCAGCAGGGAAGGGGAGAGGGGAAGGGGACAAGCAAAGCAAAGGCAAACTGATGTGCATCCTGCAGAGACAACAGCACTGTCTTCTCTAGCGGCCTGTGTTTGCCAGGCCCTAAGCCCACAAAGGCTCCAAAGCTGACAGAAATGAAGAAAATTTCCCCCCAGAGAAAAAGGCAGGAATGAAAGGGGCGGGGTTCAGAGGAATAGGAAAGAGTGTTTGCCCTTGGCTGTGTGCAGAGTGAGCAACCCAAGAGAGACAAAGGAGAAGGGATGCCTGTGCAGCCCTGCTCCAGAGAGGCCAATAGCCTGGAGGCTCTGGCAGGGCCTGGAGATTGGGGGAATTGAGCTGAGGCATCAGCTACAGCTCCTCAGCTGGTGAGACAGCGTGGGACAGTGAGTGGGAGAGGAGAAGCTGTACCTTGCTCAGTTTTCTCCAACACCTTCTGCAGCTCCATGTTGCAGGCTCTGAGGTTGTCTCTCTCAGTCTGTGTCTTCCTCAGCTCCAGCTCCAGAGCCTTACACTGTATGGCCAAGGCAAGAGCTTTGTCATCAGAGCTCTGGAGCTTCACACGCAGCTCAGACACCTCAGCCTCCAGCACATGCACAGAGTCCCTCAAGCAGCGTTCTCCTGCTCGAGACTCCTCCAGCTCCTTCAGCAGCTGCTTCTCTCGAGTTGCCTGGGAAGCCTCCATCTGCAGCACTGCGTCCTGCAGGGCCCGGATCTGGAAGATGGATGCACAGAGCCTCAGGGACAGGGCTGTTCCTGAGGCAGCAGAGTGGGCAAGAGGGAACACAATGAAGGAGAATTGAGTTCAAGCAAAAAAACAAAAGGCACAGAAGCAAGGATTCCAATGGAGAGCAATGGAGAGAAAACAGGGAAAGGGAGGCAATGGGCATCCTTGGGCTGCAGCTCTGAACTGGCTGTGCTGGAAGTGCCCTGCCCAGCCTGCCACAGCCACGGCTGTGTCCCCACATTGCTCAGTGCCCTGCACAGGCACCAACTCTGTGTGGGGCAACACTGTTAACAGAGGGACAGAGAAGCTCCAGAGGAGTCTGCTGCTGCTTCTCCTGCCACATTTCCTGCTGGGACCCGGGAGAGGAGGGAGGAAAATTTCAGTAGCAGACACCAGATTCAGCCTTGGCCTCAGGGTGCAGCAGCAGCCCCGGGCAGAACAAGGCAGCTGTGGATGCTGCTGGGAGGGGAAAGAGGTTGGGGCCTTCACACCAAAGGTGCTGCTGTGTGTCCCTGGAGGAGAGGATGCACAACTTACCTGGGTGTTGAGCTCCCGCAGTTGTCCAGCGCGGTTTGAAGAGAGCTGGTTGGCCTTCTGAAGAGCAGATTTACACTGAGACACATGATTGTTCAGTGCCATGTTCTGTGCTTCCAGGGTTCTGAGGCACAGGGTCTTTTCCTCCAGAGTCAGAATCAGCCTAGAAGGGCAGCAAGCAACTCATTACTATATGATATCACATTTTAGAAACTCTTAGGACTGGCACCAGCTCAGGGAAAAACTGCTCTGTCTGATGAGGTTTGTCTAAACATCTTGGCTGTTTGTTTCCCCTGCAGTCCCAGCCCAGCATGTGCCTACTCTGCTTTTGTCCCTGAAAGAACAGGCAGTTCCTGCCTACATGCCCTACCTTCCTATTGAGATGGCAATGTGAATACAAACCTAACAAAGTCTTGCAATGAAGACATTAGGGGAGAGCAACAGTTTTCTTCTGACTAACCAGGCTCCAAGGCAGGGAGCTTTGGTCAGCATGGAAGAGACATTGCCTTCCCCCATCTTACACATCCAGGCAGGAGGAGGAGCACCCTACAGCCAGGGGATCTCTGGCAAGTTCCCTAAGATTTACCAGCACCCATCCTACTTTCAGCTGGAGAAAGAAAAGCCAAAGTGGCAACAGAGGCTTGGAGCACAACCTGATGGAAGATGCAGAAGGTTCCAGGCAAGCAGGAGCAGCCTGCCTTTCCTTTGTCTTCTTCTTGGAAGAAGAATCCTGTGGCACTGAAGCCAGGCAGGACTTGATCAGCTGGAGGAGCCCCCCATACCTTGCTCCTGTTTCTTGCATTCTTTGCACAGTCAGAAATGCCTGGGACTGTGCAGGGTGGCAGGGACCCTGCTTGACTCCCTCCAGGCACCGGGGCACATTTGATGAGGAATGATGCAGCAGAGACATTCTTGTTTCTGGGCTGCCTCCGAGGGCAGTCTGGCCTAGATCAGCAATCAGGCCCTTAAGGTGGTTCTGCCCAGAAACAGCATCAGATGCCAGGCTGATCCAGATGCCAAAGGCTTCAAGTTACAGGACCCAAGGTGGAGCTGATGGATGCATCCAACTCCTTCCAATGCAGCTCGGGCAGTGTCAACACACCCACCTATATAACACATTTACCACTAGAGGGAATGGGCTACCCCAAAAGCCTTTGACTTCAGAAAAACTCTAACGGAACGCTTAGAAAAAAATAAAATGAAAGACAACATCCAGGCAATGGGACATGTCTGCACGGAGAGTTCAGAATCTGCCACTTGGGAAATGCTGCCAGAGCCCCTGGCAGGTGCAAAGATGGCAAAGAGGGAATCCATTCACCACAGTGCAGAGTCCCACAGGCTTTCATTTACCTGGCTTTTTCCCTCTCTAGGGCATTGACGGAAGCCTGCAATTCTGGATTCTGCTGTGCCACTTCTTCCCATCGACTCCTTTCCCTCTCCAAGTCCTGCAGATGTGCTTGCAGCTCCTTCTTCTGATGTTCTGCCTTCTCCAGCAGCTTCTGGACATGCTCTACCTCTGAGAGCTTCTGCCTGGACTCTTCCTGGGCCTCCCTCACATCTTGCTGCGCTCTCTGCACAGTCTTTTCCTGGCACTCTCGGGAGGCTGCCAGCTGAGATGTCAACTCTGCCACCTCCAGTCAAACAGAACAAAGCAGTCAGAGGCCACGGCCACAGCTTGTCACTGTCAGCCACAGCACAGGCTGTGAGCAAAGGGAAAGGACAACTCTGCATTTCTCTCTGTCCTGAGAGCCCCAGATTCACAAAGGATATGGCCAACTTGTTCCAGTCTCTAAGTGGCCCACCACCAAGGGCACCTGAAAAAGCACCTGCCAAACCAAGGCTAGCAAGAAGAGGCCAGCAGGAATCCATGCTGATGGCTGCTGACCAACAGGGCAGAGGACGAGCCCAGCTGTCCAGAGCAGCAGCTGACATTCAGCAGAGCACTGAGTGTCCTTCAGAGCCGCTGCCATGGAGCCCCCAGAGCACGAGACTGCCCCAGGGCTCCCCCCTGCAGCTGCTGCTTTGCTGTGGAGAAGCAAGAGGGCCACAGACCCCTCACTGCATGTCTGCAGTGCCACTGCTCTTTCACTCACCTGCTTTTGTAGAGCCTCTCTCTGCTCAAGGAGAAGATTCATTTCCTCTTTGAGGCCTTGTTGCTCTTGCTCGTGCCTCCTCTGTGCTGCCTGGACTTC